CCCTAGCAGCTGTGGGAACTAAGGCTGGCTGTAGTTGAGGACACCAACTGAAGTTTAATTTTCAGAATATCCTCCATCAGTTTTATGAATTTGAGTCCAAATGTTGTTACCTCTTTCACAAGTCCAGAGGCCACAAAGATTTTCAGCACACTATTGGTTGCCTACAGCACTCAAATGAGTACCTTAGATTAAATTTGCTGCAGTGGAGTGAAGCCATCTCTTCTTGACACTTCTTCTCATTCTGCTATTCTAGCCCTAAATGATGTTGAATATTTGCTCTTCTTTTCCTTCTAGGACCAACTAAAGGCATCTCTAGAGCCTTTGGAGGAAGGTCTCAGGCGTCTGAAAATGAGCCAGTGTCGCCAGCAAGAGAACATTATAGAACTGAAGGTGTGGCCACGCAATAATATTAGCTTTTATGAAGTGTGCTCACATTTTTCCATTGTTAAACTGAATCTGCTTGTTTCCTTATCATCATATGATCCAGAACTGTAGATAGATAGATAGATAGATAGATAGATCGCCAGCCTCTGGACTATTTTATACCTGATATTTGACATCCAACACTTGCTGGTGTGATGCTAATCAGCTGGAGGATGCCAGTCTGAAAAGAATGTGTATTCATTTGCACCATGCAAGTATGATCTGCAAGAAAATGTTGCAGCATGAAGTCCTGTTCAGAGCTCCAGTCAGACATCCAGTGAATCCCTTTTTTGGGTTGCTCCATTCCAGTCCCACATCTCCCTATTTTTGGTTCCTGTTTCCTACAATCATTCTTAGTTTTCATGGTATGGGTTACCATACCCCACTTCACCCATACCTATTTAGAGCATTTCCCCCATAAAGAATGTATGTACTTCTGCAGACGCTGGAGTTTTCCCCCAATCCTACTGAAATGTCCTTGTGTGTATGGTGTTGTTCTGGGTTCAATAAAGATCCATATAATAGATGTGATTTCTGGATCAAGCCTCCACCCCAACAGTAATCAAACTGTGTGAGGCTACTGCTCCTGACAATTACAAATGGGATCAGGGAGGCAATTCATAGAAAGAAGAAGCAAGCTGGTCTCAGCAGCAAGAGGTAAGAAAATGAGATCATGTTCCATCTGGGTAGGTACTCTTGTTTCCTTACCCTCATAGCCAAAACCAGCTCCTCCTTCTTTCCTTCTCCTCTCCTCACTTGGTAAACAGTACCAGTAGGAGCCCCACAAGTTTTGCCAGTTGTCTTGAGGGAGGGTTTGGACCAGGCACAAGGGGATAGAGAATAGCTCCCTGCATCTTGTCCAAAATAAAGTATTTGCATGCACAATCTAAAATTATACAATTATACTTTGCCAACATGTTTCCAACCCAGGATTTTTCTGTATGTTATTTTCTTCTCCTACAAGATAGAGTACATAATGATGGTGAATGGTCCCAGCTCAGCTTGACATTTTTAGATGCACTTTGGTATGCTGAGTCTTCTCACACAAACACACCTCT